GCAAGGGCGTTCGACAGATTTCGACATGCGCGCGCGCGAAGCCCGTTTGGTAGCGTTTTGTGAAAATCTTGAAAAACCTATGGTTTTCTTAAGATTTCGCAAGACCTCGCGCGAAGCTTTTTTAGCAAATCAGTGTTGCGGAACCCTGTGTTTTTGCGTTTTTTGGAGACTCGATTGCGAAATCCTTCCGGCACCGAAGGTTTTGAAGGATTTCGGCATGCGCGCGCGACGACGCGCGCGTGTGCACTTCGTCCCATGTTTTGCAAGGGATTCGCGAAAAAGTGCAATGTTAGAACAAACAATGTCACCGCATATTCTTTTTTACAAGGGGCCCTCGGGGGGGGGGGGATACCGGCCCCCCGGGGATAGTGTAAATTCATATTTAGGGTGGACATGTGGTCAGAATCATACATGATTTACATACCCGAAAGGGGGACCGATAACGCCGGGGGGGGGGTAGATCCTATTCTGTTTTTAGAAAGAAGAATCTATGTTGCGCAATTGATTTTTACACATGGTTTGACTCATCCCGTGCTCTTGCAAACATCCCACCCACCCACCCGCAACTTGGTTTGCAAAACCTCTTAAGACCGTGACGGTATGTACCAAATGGCACTTGGCAACGACACCGACGCCGACGACGACAGCGACGTCGACGACGACAACGACACCGCCGACGACGACGACGACGACGACGACGACATCGACGATGATGACGACACCGACGACGACGACGCCGTCGACACGCCGACGACTACTCCGACTACGACGACGCCGACAACGACGACGACGACAACGACGACGACGGCGGCGGCGACGACGACGATGCCGACGTCGACGACGACGAAGACGACGACGACGCCGACGCCGACGACGTCGCTAACGAAGACGACGACGACGACGAGGGAGGAGGGAGGACGACGACGGCGACAACGACGACGACGAGGGAGGATGGAGGACGGCGACGACGCGAACGACGAAGAAGGAGGGAGGACGGCGACGCCGACGACGACAACGACGAGGGAGGAGGGAAGACGACGTCGACGACGACGACGACGGCGAAATAGGAGGGACGACGACGAGACGCTGACGACGGACGACAACGACGACGAGGGAGGAGGAAGAAAGACGACCACGGCGACAACGACGACGGAAACGACCACGACGCCAAAGAGGACAACGATGACGACGACGAGGAAAGACACAGGACGACGACGGCGACGACGACGACGAGGGAAGAGGGAGGACGGCGACGACGACGACGACGACGGCGCAAGAACGCGCGCGTACGCGTCTGTTGAACATCCGTGTTGCGAAACCTGCTGTTTTTTTGTTTTCGGACACACGATGTTGAAACCCTTCCGAAACCGAAGGATTTTGAAGGATTTCGGCATGCGCGCGCGACGACGCGCGCGTCTGCACTTCGACCTATTTTTTGCTGAGGATTCTCGCGACGGCACGCGCGCAAGGGCGTTCGAACGATTTCGATATGCGCGCGCGAAGCCCGCTTGGTAGCATGTTTTTGAAACCTATGGTTGTCGTAAGATGTCGCAAGAACGTGCATAAGCTTGTTTAGAACATCCGTGCTGCGAAACCATGTGTTTTGTATGATTTTTGGAAACACGATTGTGGATTCCTTCCGAAACCGGAGGTGGTTGAAGGATGTCGGCATGCGCGCACGACGACGCGCGCGCGTGTGCACTTCGTCCCGTTTTTCTTTTGCGCACAGGAGTTTGAAAACATGTGATTTTTGATAAACGCGTGTGCGCGCATAGTATTTGGAACAGAGGATGGCAGGGGGGGGCGATACTGGCCTGGCCGGGATAGTATGAATGCATGTTTATGGCAACCGATGGGTCAGAATCACATGTAATTAGCAATACGAAAAGGTGTACCGTTAACTAGGGGGGGGTAGAGTCTACTCTTCTTCGAGAAAGGCGAATCTACGTGGTGCTGTGGTGCAATCTGTGTTGTACAATCTGGGCGGCGACGGGGCGGCGACGGCGAGCACGGAGCCGCCAGACCGCCACCCAGGCCCAGACGATGGGCGGCGACGAGGCGGCGACGGAGAGGCGACGGGGCGGCGACGGCAAGCACAGAGCCGCCAGACCGCCTCAGGCCGAGCTCTTTAGAATCGGAGCAAGCACCCCTCAGAGCAATGCAAGCACTGATTGGAGAAAAAGTATGACCCCTAAGTGCAAGCATCGCTTGGGAACGAATACAGATCACAACGACAACCTCAACGTCCGATGGGCGACCACGCTGTGAGGCGGAACCCGAACGGGATGCAGAATTCGGAAGACACCTTCATAAACAATATAGGAAAGGCAAGCCAAATCATCCAAAACACCCGTGGAAGAAACTTCGAGAACACCGTCACGCCCCGCCCCCCCAAAAAAGCGCTGGCGGCAGACACTTTGAAAAGACCTTCATCAACATTAAACAAAGCAAGTGTCCACAGAGAATGCAGGTCGCCCGTCGGACGTGTTTGCCTTCCCCCCCGAGGGTGTTCCCAAAGTTGTTGCACCCAACGTGTTGGATCATGTGGTTTGCTTATTTTGTTCCCTGAAGGTGTTACCAAAGTTTCTGCCGTGAGCGCTCTGGATGTATTCTGAAGGTGTTCTGATGGTGTTCCCAAACTTCTGCCACCCGTGTGGGTTCCGCCACACAGCGGGGTCTACCGTCGGGCGTTGGTGATGTCGCTGGGATTCTTGCTGTTGTTTCATGAAGGTGCTCCCGGTTTCTGCCACCAGCGCTTTGGATTTTGTCTTTATCCAGATTGTTCTGAGGACGTTCTAAAAATTCTGGCACTCATCTAGAAGGAGGGAGCGTCGGAAGAAGCGAAGGAGACGAGAGAAGAGGAAGAGGAGGAGGAGACGAAGGAAGGGGAGGAGCAGGATATGAAGGACAAAGAAAGAGAAGGACGAACATGATGAAGGAACACGACAAAGAGCAGCGATGAAACCAGGAGGTGACAAGAAAGAGCGCTGAAATCCACCAGGCCTGCTTTGCACCCCAAGCCTTTGTGGGGGTCTCCTGGCGTGCTCTTGAGGCCTCTGGTGGCCCTCTTGGGAGGGTCCCGGGGGCCTCTGGGGGAATCTGAGGGCCCCAATTCCCAAATCTTCTGGGTGCTTGGTGCTCCTGGGGCCGGTGGCGTGGATTTTCCACGGACCAGAGTGCCCCGAGACGGGCCAAGAGGACCCCAAGAGGCCCCAAGTCGGTCCAAGATGGCCCCGAGTCGCCCAAATATCGCTCCAAGACGCCCAAGATGGCCCTAAGTCGGCTCAAAAGGCCACCTTCCCAAGATGGCTCCAAGAAGAGGCCCCCCCCAAGAGGGTCCCCGAGATGCCAAGAGCTATTGATTGCCTTCAGGTTTTGTGAAGGATTTGAACGCTCTCGCCTTCTCCAACTTCCGACGCTGCAGGACGGCCCGAGAGGCTTGACATTGCGTGACTATCTTGCAAGCGGTGCACTTGGGGCCCTTCAAACAGGTGTGCTTTCAGCGTTCACTACATTCCAAGGTCGGCGCTCTGCTCCTGTCGCTCAGACTGGCACCCTCGCCCCAACGTGGGCCACACCTCGGGATACAGTGTGCTTTCAGCGTTCACTGCATTCCGAGGTCGGCGCTCTGCTCCCGTCGTTCAGACCGGCACCCTCGCCCCAACGCGGGCCACACCTCGGGATCCAGTCATCAATTCGTCGTTGCCGCCCCCCCTCTTTCCCGCTCTCCACATCCCTCCAGTCCTCTTGTTCCTCCTGCTGCTGCTGCTCCTCCTCCCTCCTCACTGCTCCTCTCTCCCTCCCCCTCCTCCTCGCCTCCTCCTTCCTCCGCCAAAACGTCAAAAGCCCCGGCCCCATTTAGACTGGGCAGTGAAGACTGACTCGAGCCCTGCGACTGCAACTTGGAGATCAAAGTCCTCTGATGCGCCCCAGTCGGCGGAGAGAAACAGATTGATCGCAGTGAGAGGGGATGTGTGGGACGGGACTAAAGGACGTGTTGCTCGACAGCTGCTCGATGTGAATGCCATTATTCTCTCTCTCTCTCTCTCTCTCTCCCCCCGATCATCAGCCGCTTCTCTCGCGTACTGCCTCCATGATTGTACGCGTCTGCTCTGCCACGTGTGCTTGCCGATCGGAACGTGCTCGGCGACGCAGACAAGGTGCTCCCCCTGCAGCGCCGGCCATATTCCAGGATCGACGCGCTGCTCCTGTCGCTCAGACGTGCGCTCTCGCCCAGAGCGGGCCACACTCCTGGATCCGATTCCCTCCTCGCCTTTGCCGCACCCGCCCTGCCCCATGCTCGGCCTTCCCCCGTCCTCGTTGCTCACCACAACTACTCTTCATGCTGCTGCTGCTGCTGCTGCATCTGATCCTCCTCCTCCTCCCTCCTCCTCCTCCTCCTCCTCCTCCTCCCCCTCCTCCTCCTCCCCCTCCCCCTCCGTCCTCCTCCCCCTCCTCCCCCTCCCCCTCCGTCCTCCTCCCCCTCCCCCTCCGTCCTCCTCCTCCTCCTGCTCAATTCGCCACGTACTTCTCCATGTATGTACAAGGCCACGCTCTCTGCTTCTGCATCACACGATGGGACCCAGAAACCAAGTCCTCTAGGACGCCCCCGTCGGCGGATACACGAGATTTCGACGCAATGTGAAGGGATGGGTGAGAGGGTTCGATTAGGATGCCAGGTAATGCGCGGGCGCACCCAGGTGTCCTTTTCTCCGTTCCCCTCTCTCCCATCCTGTTGGGCGTCCGCTCTCTCTCTTTCTCTCTCTCCCCCCCTCTCCCACACTCTCTCTCTCTCATGTTGTCTCGTGTTAGGTCCTGTATCTCCCTGTCTCTGTCTCTCTCTCTCTCTCTCTCCCTTTCTCTCATCCACATACCACTCCTCTGAATGATCCTTCCTCTCTCCCTCCGCACACGGGCAATGTGGACGCTCGCATCATAGGCTCACCACCACTGTTGACAACAACTCCTGGACATCAGCCCTCCAACAAACCCCTTAGCGCGATCAGTGGGCGCCGCGCCTTGCAAGGATCGAGGCGCACCACAACAAACTGCCCGTGTCGGTATTGTGATTTGCGTACAAACCGTACCTCTGAGGGTGGAGGAGAAGGGTGTGAAAAGAGACGGAGAGAGGGAGAGGAGAGCGATAGGGTAGATCAGGCGACAGAGAAGACACGAACATGGTAATTCGATCACGTCCGCTTTCCAGGGGTGGAAAAGCGTGACGAATGATTGGTTGTCCCCACTCCTTGGGGGGAGGGGGGGGTCCACGAGCTGGCGCACCTCCCCGGCTCGCAGAGCCAAACCGACTCTCTGTGACCTCTAACTCGCTGGAGAGGTCTCAAGATCATCCAAGATGGCGTCAAGACAGCCCAAGAGGCCCCGAAGACTCTCATAGAGGTCCCCAAGAGAGCTCCAACGAGGGGCACAGGCAGCACGAGCCATAGAGTTACCAGAAATTCTTGACTTGTCTTTTCGCGTCCTCGCCGCGTTGGGCTTCTGAAGGCCCAAGACGGCCCCCCAGACCAGCCCCAGATGGCGGCTCTAGAGGCCCCCCGGAAGGCATGGAGACGGACCAAGGGGGACACAAGACTGCCCAACAGACCCACCAAGCCCTCAAGAGGGCGCAGAGAAGGAGGGCCCCAGAGAAGCCCACCGCTGGAGCCCCCGGGGTCCTCTCCCACAAGACGACCCAAGACCCCGAACGTGCCCACAAGAGGGCTCCAAGAGGCCGCAGAGGGCCCCCAGACTTCCAGGAACCCTGGAACGGCATGCAAGCGGCCGCCCCGAGGCCTCCAGAGGCCCCGGAGAAGCCACGCGGAGGAAGAGAAGGACACTTCGGCAACTTCTACACGCACGTAACACGACTGGAAACAACACAGGACACGTACGAAAACCGCGAATCACTTCTTCTGGGGCTCGGAAGAACTGCGTAAGCCTCTGGAGTAAGGAGACTGGATGAGGCGAGGTGGAATTGGATGGGTGAGGAAGGCTGGGGTAGGAGGGAGGAAAGATGGAGCGAGAGGAGGAAGGAGGGTCTAAGGCGAGGGGGGGAGGACGGAGACAGGAGGGCGGGGATGGAGGAGCGAGCTGGGAGGGGGGGGAGGAACCCACGGAGAGGGGACACATGATGGGGGTGGCATGGCAGAGGCGGAGCTGAAGCAGGAACTGGAGGCAGCAGGGCAATTCATAGGAAGGGGCCCTTGGACACGCAAAAAAATGCAGACAAATAACAGGATTTCTCATAGTTTCCCATATGTTATGGGTTTTTGTCTCCCCCCACTTCCCATAGTTTCCCATATTTTCCTGGAAATCGACAATTAATTGTGTCTGTGTTTTTTCCCTCCTGATCATAGGAGAGCGGTGCGGAACGGTGGGTGGGTGGGTGCAGCGGGGCGGGTGGTGATACGGCTCCTGCTCTAGGCCCCACCCTCCTGGCACGAGGGACGTGGTAAGAGGGGGGGGTAGAGAAGGCGGGAGGCGAGGCGAGACAACAGGGAGTGGACGCGGGGGGGGGGAAGCGAAAAAGACAACCGAAGGGGCGGGAGCGACGGATGACACAATTCCTCCTGCTCGACATCCTGCTCCTGCCTCCCCCTCATTCGTCCTCGTCCTCTTCCTGTGCTCGCGCCCGATCCTCTCTCTTTCTCTTTTACTCTCTCTCTCTCTCTGCGAAGACCACCTCAGAACGGCGCGAATCGTCTTCGGGGATAGCCGTTGCCCTATCGCCTACTCCAGGGTCGTCTTATCTGGTAGCCGCCTTCGTTGGGATCGACTGCGCCGAGGTCGTCTTCGCCTGCGGTCGTCTTAGCCAGCGGTCGTCTTCACCGACGATTGCCTTCGCCCGGCGGTCGCCTTCGCCAAGGGTCGCCTTCGCCAGCGGTCGTCTTCACCGGCGGTCGTCTTCGCCCGGCGGTCGCCTTTCGAAAGGTCGCCTTCGCCAGAAGAGCAGGAGGAACGGACCGGGCGCAGATGACGGGGCTGAGATGACGAGGCGAAGACAACGGGGCGAAGATGATGAGGAAGTGCCAGGACCGAGGGAGAGGGCTGGGAGGGATCTGGGGGGGGGGGGGGGAAAGGTGAGGACCCCCTCCTACCCCTCCTCCTCCTGTCCCGCCCCCACCTCCCCTTCCTCCTCCTCCTCCTCCTCCTCCTCCTCCTCCTTCTCCTCCTCCTCCTCCTTCTCCTGCTCCTGCTCCTGCTCCTCCTCCTCCTCCTCCTGCTGCTCCTCCTCCTCCGCCTCCTCCTCCTCCTGCTCCTCCCCCTCCCCCTTCGAGGAGGGGGGAGGCAGGGGCAAGGCGGAGAGGAAGGGGTCGGACGTGGCGTGTGCTGCGTGCAGCTCTATATCCAGGAGGTGAGAGAGCACAGGAAGCACACCTTCGGCGGCGAGCGAGGGGGGTGATGAGAAGGAGAAGGCCTTCTCATCAGAAGGCGACGGAACTTCTCAGAAGGCCGGGGGACTGCCGAACCTTCTGGGACAGCCTTCTCCTTCTCACTTCCCCCCAGGGCTCGCCGCCGGACTTCGTCTAGGCGTCAGAGGAACAACTTCACCGGTGGAGTTGCCCAGCTGTAGGGCCCCGGCCGAATTGCCATCTCCGGGACTTCAGCGGGCCGCGCGTGCCAGCCGTGCAGTTTTGCACGCGCCGGCTCGCAAGGGGAGGGAGAGAAGGGGGGAGGAGGAGAAAAGGAGTGAATAAGAGAAGGGAGGAAACCACTAAGCCAGAGCACGGACATGATCACACAGTTTCGACTCCAAAGAGGCGGATGAGACACGTCGTGCTGGAAAAAGCTTCCAGAGGGCCAAACACGCTTCCGCAGCTAGGGAAAACTCACAAGTCTGAGAACCCGAAGCAAGAAGCAGGTCTGCGAACCACTGGCACGCGAGGAATTCATCAGGGCAAGGTGCGAAGATTGGAGGGATCACGAAGAATAGCAAACGGAGAAGGAGAGAAATAAAGGAAAGGAGGGGAGTTGATCAAATAGGAGATGCCACGGGCGTGTTCTGCGTGCAGCTCTGGACCTCAGGATGGAGACACGTGAGAACGAGAGCAAATCAAGATTGTGCTACTGACGAAATGCGAAAAACAGGGGTGCAGAAGCGGAGGAGAGAAGAGAGACGGCACCAGCCGACGATCTTCAAGCGGAAGATGCTCCAATAAGCCTGCCCATCCCGTCCGCGCTTTACCTCGTGAAGACATCCAGCTTCTGATTCCTGCCGTCCTTCTCACGTGGACGGATCACTGCCTCCGATACTCTGCACCCCTTCGCTGAGCAGTGCGCCCCGTAGTTCCTCGATGGAAGTACCTTCAGTCTCGAGGCGCCCTGGACGCTTGCCACAGAGAGAGCACCATCTGCTCGCGCAACAACGCGCTCCCGAACAGACTCGGGCCACTCGCACAACGTCAACACCGCTACGAGGAAACTATACCGCATAGCCCTACAGTAAGAACAGCTTGTCGCCACTCAAGGACGCCATACTCTTGGAAGTCAACGTTGAGACAGTTGCAGCGGCGCTGGGCGCGAGAATTGCTGCATGCCAGATGGCGAGCCGATTCGTCAAGGATGCGAGGGTATCCTTGATTGACGAGGTCTTGCGTCCTTCCTGTGCGTGTTGACTGGAATCTCCACGAGCGTGCCGTTGGCACGGGCCTCGGACCCCCTACAGTCATCGGCCTGACCTAAGGAACGATAAATAAGGAACGAAGCCCCTTTTTTATCCCAAGGGATCACGCATAAGGAACGAGAAATAACAAATAACGCATAAGGAACTGCAAATAACGCTGACTTTCCCGAGGTCCTGGGAACGTTCTTGGGGAGCCAAACCTCCCGAGTGCTTGCAGCTGGTCCGGGGGAGCCGCCCCGGAACTGTATGGGGGGCCCGCATTGGACCCACTGGGAGTCCCTCGTGCCTGGCCCGAGACGCCGAAGCCGTCGACGGTGCCACAGGCTCTGTATGAATTTAGCATTCTATCGGGGATGGACAGACCCCCCTTTAGTAAAACGTGGTTTAGTGAAAACGACCTGAGGCCCAAACCTGGCGGGCGCAAGCCTGGAAAATAACGGCCACGGCGCCCTCTCGAGAACCGAAAACGGACACTTCACTAATCGACGTGTCACTGTTGGGGGTTCTGTCCACCCCCGATTATAGAACTTTCGGTACTGTGAGCGTTCAGCAAGGCCCAAACAGGGCCCCCGAAGATCGCCGCCGCCAGACAGCCGACGTCTCCCCTGCGATGGACCCACGACGCCGCGAGGATCCCAAGAGACCTCCAAGACACCCGAACGGAACACCGAGCGGCCTTGAATCCACGACCCAGGCGCGACAGCTGGATTGGGCAGGAAGCCGCAAGATCCGCCTTCCCCTCTTGACTCACCACGCCCCCACCACGCCGCCACCACGCCTGACACCGCCAGCCGCAGCCTCCTCAGGCCTCTGGGTGTATATATATATATATACATATATATATATATATTGTTCAGGGGCCGCCCACCCTGGAAAAATCGAAACAGGACGCCCCCACCACGCCCCCACCACGCCTGACATCACGCCTGACACCGCCAGCCTCCTGAGGCCTCTGGGTTTACATTTTTGAAGGGCCACCCACCTGGCAAAAATCGCGCTGGGGCCCCACACCACCCCGGATCACGCCCCCACCACGCCGCCGCCACGCATGACACCGCCAGCCTCCTGAGGCCTTTGGGCATCGATTTTTGAACGGTTACCCACACTGCAAAAATCGCACTGGAACCCCACACCAAACTCCAACCGCATCCCCAACACACACCCACCACGCCCGCCGCCATGCCTGACACCACGCCTGACACCGCCAGCCTCCTGAAATCACACCAGGACGTCCCACCACGCCCCCACCACGCCTGACACCACGCCTGACACCGTCAGCCTCTTCCACCCACGCTCCCACCATGCCCCCATCACGCCCCCACCGGTATATATTTTCTAAAAGCCACCCGCCCGGAAAAATCGAAACGGGGACGCCCCGCCACGCCCCCACCACGCCGCCACCACGCCTGACACAACGCCTCACACCGACAGCCTCCTGAGGCCCCTTTGGGCAAAACTGTCGGGGGCCACCCACCTGGCAAAAATCACACCAGGACCCCCAACGCGCCCTCGCCACGCCCATACCGTACCACGCCGCCACCACGCCAGACACCACGCCTGACACCGTCAACTTTCTGAAGACACATGTTCCAAAGGCCACCTACCGTGCAAAACGCACCCCCGCCGCGCCCCCACCACGCCGCAAACACATCTAGCAACACGCCTGACACCACGCTTGAAACCGCTAGCCTCCTGAGGGCTCGGGGTGTAAATTTTCTAGGGGCCACCCATCCTGCAAAAATTGCACCGGGACGTTTCACCACGCCCCCACCACGCCCCCACCGCGCCGCCACCACGCCTGACACCACGCCTGACACCGCAAGCCTCCTGAGGCCTCTAATCATAAATTTTCAAAGGGCCAACCACCCTGCAAAAATCGCACCGGGCCCCCCCGCCGCGCCCCCAGCACGCCCCCACCACGCCGCCACCAAGCCTGAGACCACGCCTGACACCGCCAGCCCCCTGAGGCCTCTGCGCGTAAATCTGACCGGGACCCCCCCCTACGCCATCACCGCGCCCCCACCACGCCGCCACCACGCCTGACACCACGCCTGACACCACGCTTGAAACCGCCAGCCTCCTGAGGCCTCCGGGCAAAAATCTTTTAGGGGCTACCCACCATGCAAACATCGCACCAGGACCCCCGCCACGCCGTCACCACGCCACCCACCCTGCAACGATCGCACTGGAAGCCCCGCTACGCCCCCACCGCGCCGCCACCACGCTTGACACCACGCCTGACACCGCCAGCCTCCTGAAGTCTCTGAATATGACCTTTTAGAGCCCGCTCATCCTGCGAAGATCGCAGTGGGACCCCCCGCCACGCTCCCACCACGCCTCCGCCGCCACCACGCCTGACACCGCCATCCTGTTGAGGCCTCTGGGCGTCGATTTTCCAAAGGCCACCCACCCTGCGAAAATCGCACCAGGACCTCCCACCACGCCCGCACCACGTCCCCAACCACGCCGCCACCACGCCTGCCATCACGCCTGACACCGCCAGTTTCCTGAGGCCTCCGGGTGCAAATTTTCTTGAAGGGGCCACCCACCTTGCAAACATCGCACCGGGACGTCCCACCACGCCCCCACCCGGCCGCCGCCACGCCTGACACCACGCCTGACGCCGCCAGCCTCCTGAGGCTTCTAAGGATCGATATTTCAGGGGCAAGCAACCCTGCAAAAATCGCACCGGGGGCCCCCGTCACGCCCCCACCACGCCGCCACCACGCCTGACACCACGCCTGACACCGCCAGCCTCCTGAGGCCTCGGGATGTACTTTTTTGAGAGGGGGGCACCCACCCTGCAAAAATCGCACCGGGGCCGCCGTTGGACCGTCTTGGGGCCTTCTTGGGAGCCTCTTCGGTGATCTTGGGTCCTCTTGGGCCGACTCGGGGCCCTCTTGGGAGCCTCTTGGGCCGACTGGGGCGGGGCCTTTGGACCCTCTTAGAGGCCTCTTGGGCCGTCTTGCGGCAGACTTGGGATTTTGAACCGTCTTGGTGTCGTTTTGGCTGACTTGGAAGCCTTCTTATAAGCCATCTTGGCCGCTTGGAAGCCTAAAAACCCCTCGGGGGGAATTTCAGGGGGGCGGTTTTGTAACCCCAAGCGCGAGCCGGTGGAGTCGGCAAAAAACCCTCCCAGAGGGACCAGAGGAACATTCCAACACGCCGCTGCCATGCAGACGCGGCGGCGGATGTAAGGGGACGAAGGGGGCGGCAACAACGACAAACTAGATTGTAGTGCGCCGTTTTGGGGGGCCCGCGGCGAATTTGACTGTGGCGTGCCGATCTTGGAACCTTCAGGAGTCGACCTGGATCCCAGTTCGCGACGAATTGCAATCTGGGGATGTATGTAAAACGCGCGAAAAAAAACAATAACGACAGGAGGACGAAGCCGACCGAAAACGATAGTTAAACGCAGCGCAACAGGACGATGAACAGCATGAAGCGCACGCGCAACACAATGAAGGGGAACAACAACATGATGAACGAGGGAAGAGGTCGGGAAAGGACGGGGAAGGAGCAGGATGTGATGTGCTGACGAAATGGCGACGTTGAAAGGAGGATGGAATAACGCGAACAAGCATGTCAACATGGCGACGAATTTACGGAATAAACGTTCGCTTTCGTTCCCACCCACACCCAAAACTCCACACCCTGTTCAGAACATCCCCTGTGAAGGAGAGCGGACACACGAGCTCACCTGGTTCCCCAATCTCGTGCGCAGAGGGCGTGGCGCGATGAAGACAGCGATTGTGCACCACAGCATTCACAGAGGTCTCGTGTGCGATCCGACGCGCCCGAACGCCCAGACGACGAAAAATGCACTCGCTCGTCGCCGACAGCGCGTGCATCATGGAGCGACAACTGTGACATCCTGACGGCGCCAAAGCTCCACAACTGGCGACTCTGCGAGGAGGAAGGAAGGAGGAGGACTGGGAGGGATAGTCTCCTCTCGTCCTGCTCCCTCCTCTCCCCCTCCGCCTCCCCCCTCATCCCCATCTCCAACTCTTCTGTTTTGGCAACGCTTCCCAACGCGTCTTCCACTCCCTTCGCCGCCCCGTGCTCCCCTTGCATCTCTCATGCGATGTAGCGAGAATCAGACCGCACCTGCGCTGTCCTTCGCCCCTCGGGTCAGAATTGGAGGCGAAGGGTCGCGCCAGAGCTGGCCGAAGTAGGAGGGAGGAACAACGTGAGGAGGCCTGCGCTTCAGGAGAAATTGTCGCCCGTGTCGGGCTTGGACCTAAATCCTGAACTTCACGGAGCGAAGGGGAAATAAACACAGAGAGAGTGGAGACCGTAGCGCCGAACAGAATCGACTGAGAGACTGGCCCGTCCTATGCTAGACCCGCTGCTTCCCTTCCTCGGTGCAGGATGATAAATCTCGAGGCAGCCTGGCAAACCTGTGTTTCGGTTCAGCTCCACAGAAGGTTTGGGACTCCATCCGTCTCTGAACTTCGCTCTGTTGAAGACGAGTTGGTTGAAACAGTTGCGACGGGGCCATCAGGTACGAGGCTGGTCGTCGCCCGCGGCGTCCTCCTAGCCGCTGCCACTGCTGATGCCGCCAGCGGGCGCGATGCTCCATCTTCTTCTGCAACTCCAAAGCCAATTTCAAGTTCTCCGCAGCCGATCGCTCCTCCTCCCTCTCTGCCCTGAAGTAGTTCACCTTGGCACACGTCCGTGGTGAACAAATAGAAGTAAGCCAGCACAAATCAATAGTAGAGTATGTCCAACATCATAGTGTCCCCACCGTTGGCCACCTCATCGCTTACCGCAGATAGCTGCGGCAAGCTGCTCATATCTGATCTTGACCACGACATTCTTACATGTCGTACACTCGAGCTCCGAATCACGCTGTGCATCACGAAAACTGATCACCAATGACAGCGAGGCTGTGGAATCCTGGTATTATTCCAATCACTAACCGCACGGCGTGGTCCAGTCGGGCGAGGTCATTGGTATCCAAGTCGGTTTCGTAACCTCCTCGGCCAGGCCGTCAGCTTACTTCTTGTGTTTGTTTTGCTACAGGCCTCGCAACGCACGGACGGTGGTAGATCCTTGCTTGGGCTTCTGAGCGGCGCCAATATGTGAGATCCCTGTTGTCGAGCTTCACGATTGTGCAGGATTATCGGATCATTCAGACAATCTCTTCCGTTGGGCCCTCGACTATGCTGCGCCTCGTGACCTGCCGTGCAACTCTCATTGATGTGGAACGCTGCATTCTTTTTGTGACACCAGCCCAACGAGCGGCGAACGCAGCACAAGCAACCAAGTCCGTCGGCTTGACGTTGTCCCTGCTGTTCGCCTCTAGCTTCAGCGGTGTCCAGGCTGGCGTCGGCAAGGTCCCCCATGGCAGCGGTATCCATGTGCCTGCTTGCTTGTCGGTAGTCACCAATGCCGCTGCGCACAAAATCTTCATCGCCACATGTTGGTGGACGAAGGTCGGCCTGCGCAAAAACCAAGAACTTTCCTGATCCCCAGCGGCGACAGCGAGCAACACGTTACATTGGTACTTCGTGGTGCTAGCCTACACTTGCAGAGGAGGGCGACGCGGGCTGCTGCTGTCGAGAAGTACCTCGCCATGTGCTCGAGCATCGCCGTCTCTGGTTTCTCTTGAGGGGTTACAAGAGGTAGACCAGTCGCGATAGTGAAGTCAAGCGCCAACTCAGCCCATGAAACTGAAAAGGGCGCCTTCACCAATCGCTCCTCCTCCTCCTTATGCCGCTCCGCTTCTCGCTGCCGGCCAAGTGTACAAGCGTCTTCGCCAGCATGCGGCCCTGATCTTTTTGCCGTGCGTCGTCGCGCCCCTTCTGCAGAGCCGCCTGCAGCGCACCGCTTCCCGCGCTGACACGCACCTTCCTCTGGACGTGGGCCAGCTCGTAGTTGTAGGCTCTCGCAGACTCGCTCCACTCGCAGTCCCAGCAGCCGCCGCTGCTGGCTGCACTCCTCCCACTTGCACTTGTGCTCCCAGTGGATGTGGCTCATCCGGCACCAAGTGTTAGAGGAAAAGGAACTATGCACATACACCGATTCTGGCCAGGCCCATCCTGAGCCCAGGATCGGTGCATACGCCCTCCTACCTTGGCCAGGAAGGCATATGCACCGATCCTGGGTCAAGGATGGGCCTTGCCAGGATCGGTGCATGTGCATAGTTCTCTTGGCCCGAAAGTGTAGGGGAACGAAACATGGCATAAACAGCAAGACTCTGAGGTCCGCGCGGATTTCTTGGATCCGCGCTGGACCCTCCTCCACGGCGCGTGGAGCGCGCTAGGGGCGGCGCCAGAAGCGCCGCCAGGAGGCCCCAGCGCCGATCCGAGGAATCCGCGCGGACCTCCAAGCTTTTACGTTTACGCCACTTGTTGCTCCCCTGCAGTGGGGCACGACGACTTCCGCATCCTGCCGGGCGTTGGCAGAACTGGGTTTAGTGGGACCTGGTTTAGTGATGTGCCCTGGGGGACGCCCCCCACCGCCCCGTTCCACTAACCGGAACTGCCGTCTCCCGAAAAACACGAGCTACGGCAGACCTGGTTTAGTGATTATGTCCAACTTAGGGGCTTCGAGGCCCTACCACCAGCCGGGTCCCCTTACCTGGAGACCGTTTTTTCTGAATCGACGAATCCTGGGTTATCAAAACCAGACGTAAAGTGGATGATTTCGTCAAAGAAAAATACATGAGCGCGGTCCGTATGTGACCTGGAAGCTTCGGAATTGTTTTGCCGTGCAGGTCTGGGTCTCCACGTGGTTCACCGGACATTTCGTGGCAATCGAACTTTGCACCGCTCGTGCGCGGTCCGTACGTGACCTGGAAGCTTCGGAATTGTTTGCCGTGCAGACCTGGGGTGGGTGGGGGGGGAAGAGGGAGCCGGCCGATAACCTAACGCTCGCGCTGTGGGCAGCCCTCCTGCGTGTGCCCGCGCCCCCCCATCCCGCGGACCTGCACAACCGGCAAGGCTAGGTTATCCTTGGGGGGGGGAGGGGGGGCAAGCCCGATAACCCGGGATATCGCCCGACCCCCCAAAAAACAGAGGAGGAAGAGGAGGAGGAGAGGAGGAGGAGGGGAAGAAGGAGGAGGAGGAGGAGGAGGAGGAGGAGGAGGAGGAGGAGGAGGAGGAGGGGGAATGCTGGGGTGGACGGGGGGGTAGACATGGGGAGGAGGGGGAGGAGGGGGAGGCGGGGGAGGCGGGGAGGAGGAGGGAGGAGGAGGAGAAGGAGGAGGAGGAGGGGGGGAGGAGGAGGAGGAGGAGGAGGAGGAGGAGGAGGAGGAGGAGGAGGAGGAGGAGGAGGAGGAGGAGGAGGAGGAGAGGAGGAGGAGGAGGAGGGAGGAGAAGGAGGAGGGGGAGGCGGAGGAGGAGGAGGAGGTCTCCCGGGATCCTGGCTGCACCCGGTCCTGCGCCGATCCAGCGCTAGCCCGGGCGGCGCCGGTGGCGTGCAGGCGCGGCCGCAGGCTGGGCGCTCGGCGGGCCACCCGGTGGCGGCGTTCCGGGGGCCGCCGCGCCGGCAGGCCCCGCGGGAGCGGGAGCGGCACCGCCAGGGGGGCGCGGGGGCAGCGGCAGCTAGACGAGCGCGTGCCACTGCTCGCAGAGTGACTACTCGCGAATGGCCGGGATACGCCGCGGGGGATCTACGATAATAGGGGGACAGAAAGTGACATAAACATAACAACTTGGAGGTCCGCGCGGATTTCTCGGATCGGCGCCGGCGGGCCCCGCGGAAGCGGGAGCGGCACCGCCAGGGGGGCGCAGGGGCAGCGGCAGCTAGACTCATGTCGGGCCTGTCCCCCTACAGGGGGATTTTGGACGAAAAATAAAAAATACCAAACAAATGCTCAAAAGATGCCCCCAAATACTCAGAAAATAGTTCCCATACTATTTTGTGCCATTTTTGAATATTCCCCCTGTAGAGGGACAGGCCCGACTTAAAGCTAGACGAGCGCGCGCCACTACTCGCAAAGTAACTACTCGCGAATGGCCGGGAGACGCCGCGGGGGATCTACGAGAGGGTACATCAGAGCCGACATCTGTTCTTCGGACGTCTGCGAGTAGGCAATCTGCGAGTGGTGGAACGCGCTCGGTGAGCAGCGGAGGCGCGTGGAGTGCCGTGGAGGACGCGGCTGGACGCGGCGCCAGGCACCTGCCGGCTGCAGCTGTCGCGGCGGCTGGGCTTCGCCCGCGGTGCGCTCGAGACGGGCGCGCACCTGGTGCCCGTCTTCGTCCTTCGGGGCGAACGCCCTCTGCTCGGTCTGCGCGACCCCCGCGGGCTCTCCCTGGCCAGGCGGCAGAGGAGGAAATACTACCGATGCCGCGACCCTTCCCATGTCGCCGCGGCTGGATTCGCCGTCAGGTTCGCTCCGAACGGCTACAGGAGCAGCAGGGGGGGGGGCGGTGCCGGAGAAGGGGCAGCTGGAATGGGGACGGCCTCCCAACTGTGTCCCCTCCCTCTCTGCCCCCCGAGTGCCAGGAACCCCGCCAGAACTATGGGTGCGGCCTCTCCCCCCAAGCTTCGCCTGGAGGCTGACTAACTACCAGACCACCCCAACCCAACCGGAAGACCCGAATTTGGGCTTGGCAGAGGTGCGGGCTTCAGATGTGTTTTTCAATGTTCCCCGACCCCCCATTGGGAATGTATGGCAGATTGGGGCTGTCGGGTTGGGCTTGGGTGTTTGGTGGGTGGTGATAGGCGTGGCAGGAGCGCGGTGGTGTCGGGAGAGAGCGCGCAGAGGTCTTGAGCGCCCACGCGACAAGCTTGCGCTAATGCGATCACGCCGACCGACTGCCATCTGCCAGCCTGGCACCCAAACGCACCCAAGCGTCGTCCCAACCAACGGCTCGATCCGACAATCGAGCCGCATCCGGACGTGGTGGCCCGAGGCCAAGACCGTGGGAACTGGCGGCGCCTCCCCGCACGCGCATCCCCGGGCAGGGCGCCGTACACACCATGTAGCTGAGCGGCACGATGCAGTAGAACTGCGTGAGGACGAAGCCGTGGGCCTCCTGGAGGGTGGCGGCGGGGGGGAGGGAGGGGGGAATGGGGTGCTTGGGGGAGAGAGAGAGAGAGAGAGAGAGAGAGAAAGAGAGAGAGAGAGAGAGAGAGAGAAAAAGGGGGGGGGGGAATGGGAGATGGGCACATGCCTCTCCCTCGCCGTGCGATTCCCTGGCCTTCCCGGAACCCCTGGGCGACCGCCTCCCGACGGCGCTGGCTGCGGCATGGGCAGGCAGGAGGACTCCGTCACGTGGTGATGCGAGGTGCCCCCCCTCGCCACCGAATCCCCCATCCTCTTCCTCCTCCGTGTATCCTCCTCCTCCTCCTCCTCCTCCTCCTCCTCCTCCTCCTCCTCCTGCTCTGTATCCTCCTCCTCCGAATCGCGGCACGCGACGGATGTTGGAAGCCTGGAAATGGGCACCAACACCAACACAGGGGGGGTGCCTCCACAGGGGGAAGATGATCCTAGATTTCGGTGTTGGTGGTAATATTCGGCCACCTTGGAAGCCAGACTATTACCACCCTCACCGAGATCGGGATCTTCATCCCTCGGTGGAGGCACACCGCCGAAATTGGTGTTGGTGTCAATCTCTAGGCCTGCGAGGATGCAGGTCGCCGAAGGGGGGGGGGGGGGGCGGGCGGTGCCTTGAACAGGAAGGAGAGCACCGAGAGGGAGATCCTCTCGGAGAACATGGTCAGCTGCCCCTGGTCCGCGCGCGGGGCCCCGAGGGGCGCGGCGAGAGGCCGGGAGCGAGCGCGAGGGGCAGCGACAGGGGGGGATGCTCCTCCTCCTCCTCCTCCTCCTCCTCCTCCTCCTCCTCCTCCTCCTTCTTGTTCTTCTTATTATTATTATGATTATTATTATGATTATTATTATGATTATTATTATTATTGTTTTTCGTCTTTTTGTTGATTCTCCTCCTCCCCCTCCTCCTCGTCGTCATCCTCCTCGTCCTCCTCGTCCTCCTCCTCCTCCTCCTCCTCCTCCCCCCTGCAGTGCACGCAACTCTGGTCTCTGAGTGCGCATGACACGATGGAGTCACTTCAGCTTTTCCACGTCCGCGGTGACACCCGTCCGCGGATACAGAAAACGTCAATTCTTCTGCTCTCGCCTGAAGGACAACGATATGGGGGGATAAGCATAGGGGGGGATGCATCGACCTGGAATCGGCGATACATCGTCGACAGATCGGCGACAGGCCTCCGATAGTGAATCCGCACCTGCCTGGGCAGGCTGGAGCTATCGGGCCCCGATGGGCGAGCAGTGCGCGAGTGGGGGTCGATGCATCCCCCCTATGCCTATCCCCCCCTATCGCTGCCCCTGAGAGTGGCAGGAGGCGCGGGAAGTGGGGAAGGGAACGGGGAGCGTGGACGGCAGGGGCAAGGAAGCTGTCTGTGTGCGTGTTCCTCCTTCGCACCACCCTTCGCTGCACTGACAGAGCACAGTTTGTAAACTGTGCCCTCGATAGCGCTCGATCGCAATCAGCGCTTCCATCTGCTGCTCGCGCCTGGGGATCCTCTGCGCCACCGGCTCAGAAGTGTGTGTGTGTGGGGGGGGGGCAGGGCAGGTGGGTCAGAAAGGTGGTCCTCCTTCTTCTCAAGCATGCTGTCCATGAGCACTCTACCACCACAACGGCCAGGTACATATTAAGATCCAGGGTCATCAAGGCATTCCACGGTGCTGGGACGGCAGCGCTGATCTGTGGCCATATGTTAATTGGCCCAAGCAGCGAGTGGTCCACATCATTTCCAGGCCGACTTGCTATCTGGAGACACCTTCGAGCTTCGAACTGCGGACAATGTCGATCGAAACGCGCCCCGACACCATCGATAGCCCTCCTCCCAGCCGGTGTTGGGGGAGAGAAGAGCAAACAGAAAGAGGTTGTTGAGGAGAGCTAGGAAAGGAATGACCGAACGGAGGACACGAACGATATGCTGGAGACACCTCCTTCTCCTGTCCTCCGTCTCGGCCTCCTTCCTCCTCGCAATGGGAAAGGAACATACGGAAACGTAATGCATACATCGCTTGAGCTGGGAAGTCCGAGCCTGCACACAATACTAACTAGACACATCTCCCTGTATTTCAGCGGGCATGGACGAACAAGCGATCGTGCATTCTCATCGTGCTGCCTTGTTTCCATAGCCAGGTGGACCCCAATCAGCCCCAAGCGGCCTCAACCTCTGCTAGGGACAACCATTCCCCTAGTGGCCACGACAATTGGACAACGGACAAGCCGTGCAACAGCTGCAAGCCGTGGCTAGGCTCGAAACTAACACACAACACAAGCTCATCCGAGGCGACCCATGTGAGCGCCCAAGCTCAAGAGGCACATCTTAGCCGAGAGGCTGGGAGATTCCTCCGAAGGGGCAAGCACTACTCAATGGCCTTGAAAATCCAGAAAATCAGACTAACCCGAGATGCACAAGCCACAATAGGACATATCTTGGAACACCAGCGCAAGGTGGCTGGGATCATTCTGAATGGCTTGCCGTCGAACCCTAGACACCAGAGACCGTGCAACACTTGTTGATACAAGCGCAGAGCAGTCAGAGGGAAACATTGTCGTACCAACTTGCGTTGCTAAAGACCGTTGCAAACAGGCTAGTCGATCTAGCATGTCTGCAACACATGGACGTCGCACCCATGCCGTTGGTGATGCTGCCTTTGGCATAATACTGTACCCAATCTCTGTAACAACTACTCGGCTATGCACAATGTTATCAGTGCCCGCCCGTGGTGATCACGGCGATGATGATGGTGAAAGAAGCTGGGGCCGTGCGCGGCAAGACAATGCTGGGGTTCCTGCCATCTTCTGGAAGATCGGGGGATAACACCCCGGAGTAGGCTGCCGTGGACCCAGACACGCAGTGCGGCCGCACTGCGCACCCGAATACGCTCAGTGCAGCGGCCAGACCTGCAGTGGATGACGTTCGTGAGACAGCCGCCCCTCGACCGACCCGACACTCACCGCCCACCGCCCGAATTCCTTCATCAACTGGGCCGCTCGAAACCCAAGCGGCTGATGCATCGCCGTCGCACGAGGAATTTGCACGCCTCATCGATCTCATTATGCGCACACACAAAGTCAGCCAAGCACTTGGACAAAGAGGTGGCTGATTTCGCGAACGGCCGAGGCAACCTTAACAACACGACACGTGTTCCTTCGACACCCTTAGGGCCGAACCACATCAACACCAGCCAGGTCAAGAAAGGAGGAGGGAAGCAGTCGGACAACATGCAACTGGGCGATGGAGAGGGAACGCGGAGGCCTGGGCGGCGATCAGCTTGTCTACACCGCGGAGATTGGGCGACGTTCGCGTACTGTACCCACTGATTTGCAATCGTGATGACCTCTCCAGTTGTTGCGAAGTCCCAATGCATGCCAAGCTGCAGGACAGGAGCATGATCATGAGATCGAATCGCAATCATGATTGGAGCGTGGTCAGAGACCTCCTGACTGGAGCACTCCATCGGGCATACTCGAACAGAGTGCTCGACAGCATGATGACTATGCTGGAGGCGGGGACGGCCATGAAAATGCGGACAATAACCTACAACGAATTGCATGCAAGATGGTAACGTGTAAAACTTGACGAACATTGTTTTCCTCGGGAGATGCTGCTTGGCCGTGGATGCGGTGCGAGGGAGGCGTGGACGCGGAAGTTCAGGGCGCTGTGGATGATGACGATCCCTACCTGGTGTTTCGATGTTTCAGTCACCATGCCAGAGTGAGGCATGCTGCTCAAGTCGCTCGCCCATCCTTTCCTGGTCGCCGTCTGCGGCGAACAACTGTGGACTGAGCGCTCTTGGTTCAGAAGCAGTAGGTCTTGACGAAGCCGACCTCAATGTCGTCGTATTGGAAGGTGGTGGACAAGACGCGATCATGGACGAGAGACATGTGAACCAACTCAGCCAAACCAGCCCAACACTTAGAGCAAAACGTCACTACGTTCCTGGAGTTCAGATTTGCTGTCGACGAGCATTCGAAGTCAAAGCATTGAGCGAGCGGACGTAGCAAATCACTGGCATAACGTTAATCCCTGCGCACCCTCTGATGAAAGAAGATAGCAACGACCTTTAAAGGCCTGGACAACAACATCGTCTTATGTTTACATGACAGGGCGATGCATTCGCTACATTCTGTAAAGTCCAAATGGCATGCTGGAATCGAGGGTGCTAACTGCCAGGCGGGCGCACATAGCGAGACAAGGGGCCAGAAATGATGTATAGTCAGACCAGGAGCCGAGGTCGACGCAAAACCAGATCTAGCAGATCTAGTAAAAGATCTATCATAGCACGATGTGCCGAAACAGCGGTGTCCATAACCTCTTTTCTGAGAGGCGCGCACACCAATTCCCATCATTGATTCAGAGGCTCGCAAGGTTTGCAGCGTCATCCCAGCGGCCCTGCACGATCCATATCTGATACCTAATGATTGTCGGCATGTTCAGGGAGTCGGGGCTACAGATCACGAACAAATCGTCTTGCTAGCAATTGTACTGGCCATGCGTTTGCAGGTACGTCCGGGACTGGGTGTTCATTGACATTGCCGCTAGGGCTTCTGACAAGAGTCGTCTTGCACGTCAGTGTGTTGTCGCGGCCTTGTTCGAAAACATCGTTGACTGCCTGGGCAGCAGCAGCAAGCGTGCCATCCAGGTGGACAGTGAAGTTCTGATCCACGGCACCACCCGTACTTGAGACACTGTGCTCGGCAACCTTGGCGAGGAAGGAGGGGGGTGAGGACAATGGAGGGCGAGCGATGGAGGAGCAGCGAGGATCCCGAGGACGAGGACGACAACGACGAGCAGCCGCCCGCCCAGACTCCCCTGCAGCGTCCGCCGCCTCCCAGGCGAGCTCGCTTCGCTCCCGCGGTGGCCCCTCGACCCTCTGCGCCTCCCCCTTCCCCCTCGCCTCCCCCCTCCCCCTCGCCCTCCCCTCCCCCCTCCCCCTCCAACCCTCGACCCTTTGCCCCCCCCACCCCTTCTCCCTCGCCTCCCCCCCCCCTCCCCCTCGCAATTCTTCTCGATGGGGCCCAAGCGATGCCCTGGACATCGGCCCCGCTCGTAACAAAAGTATATGTTCCCCTGGGAGTCAGGATCGCTCCTCCCTCCCTCCGCCCTCCTCTGCTCCTCCCTCCTTACTCCTCTCTGTCCCTCTGGGGTAGGGCTCGGTGGAGCCGTGATGGCATCGGCAACGCTTTGGGCGTTTGCCCGAGTGTCGGCTTCTGGCAAACTCAGCTCGCCTTCCTTAGATCACTTCGCGAAGCGACTGTGATCAAACACATACCCCTCCTCCGCCTTCTCCCCCTCCTCCACCCCCTTCCCCCCCCCCCTCCCCTCCTCCTCCTCCTCCTCCTCCGCCTCCTCCACCACCCCCTTCTCCCTCCTCCTCCTCCTCCTCCTCCTCCTCCGCCTCCTCCTCGTCCTGACATCCCTGGCGGGGCGCGCCAGCACGATGAGGGCGCTGAGCATGCTGCAAAAGAGGGCCAAGATGCGCAGAACACGCTGCCTGCTAGGCACGCGCGGCGTTCAGAAACGCTTCGGCAATAGTGCAGCCCCCGTCCTCCTCCTCCTCCTCCTTCTCCTCCTCCTGGGTTTTTCCAACATCTTTTCACATATACCCTGTGCATGAATCCTTTACCGACTCCGTGTGTTGTCCCCCATTCAATCAACTAACGCCCTCACGTATTCCAATGTTTGATCGCTGACCCGTCATTTCACTGAATCACGCCGTGATTCGATTGCTCACCCTCTCGTTCACGAAGCCGCCCACTCGCGTTTGTAACACTCCCCTCCCAATATCCGTTCGCCCACTCGCTCATTCACCTACACTCACTCACCCGCTCACCGAACCGATCACTTACCTACTCGGCCGGATGTCGACCCAAAAACTTGGCTAACCGCGTATAGCTCAATCACCCGCTCATTCACTCATGCACCTGGAGCCAAACATATTTAGCCGCCAAGTCAGTCAGCCACTCAGACAATCAGTAAGCCATTGGCTCACTCACCCACTCAAGCATTCGGCCGCTCAATCTCTCACTCGCTAAACCTCTCAACCGCTGACTCCTCAGCCCACTCACTCACTCGCACATCGTCTCAATCAGCCACTCAGACATCCAGCCGATCGCTGTCGCAATGTATTCTAAGCCACTTGAATACAAGACAGCTTATGCCCTAGCGCCAGACGGTGTTGCTTGACAAAAGACCTGGTCTGACTGCTGATGCAACTCACTTCTTTTTTCCCAATCCCCTTCCCTGCCCGCTCAATACCGAATCCTTGCCCCTCCTCCTCCTGCTCCTCCTCCTCCTCCCCTCGTGCTGTTCCTTTTGATCCTGTCGCCGCTGCTTCTGCTCGTCGTCCTCCTCGTCGTCCTCCTCCCCGACGTCCTCAGTCACGTCCTCTTCCGCTTCTCCCTCCTGGTCATCACCATCCTCCCTCCTCGTGCTCTCATTCGAATGCTCCTTCTCAATCGGTGTTCACCTCCACATCCTGCGCTTCGCGTTCCTGGTCCTTGTCCGTTTCCGAGCTGCCGTTGGGACGATGGTCCGTCCCCCAAAAGGACCAACAGACGCATCACCCCCTTCTGATCCGGGGCAAGGAGAACATAACATGCAAACGCATAACGCATAACGCATAACGCGAGAGGAAACATCCGAGAGAGCATGCGGGAGCCCGCGGGCCACCGATCCCGGCTGCCGGGAGAGCCCGCACGCGTCTCGGAGCGACCCGCGCGGCCCTGACAGGCAGAACTGCCGAGAGAGCCGCAGGGTTTGGGCAGACGTGTGGGCACGGATCACGCCGAGCAGCGCCCTGGGCACCGCACCCTTCCCGAACCTCTCGGAACCTCTCCCGGCTCACACGTGGAATCCGAAGCTCAAGCCGAAGCGGTCAAACGCAACGCACACACACACATGCAATGCAAACACACTGCGACGCACAACATCTGCAGCGCCAAACAAACCCGCCGGCTGACGTGGGTGAGAGGTTTTCAGTTTGAGTCGTCGTCGTCGTCGTCGTCGTCGTCGTCGTCGCCGCTCCCCTCCACTTATTCGCGCTCTTCGGCTTGAGTCGTCGTCGTCGCCGTCGCCGTCGCCGCCCCCTGTCCATGGGTCCTTCTCCTCAAACGCTCCAGCCATACAGTCACCCCGTATAAGAAAGATGCGCGATAAGGATGCAAGGGTCTTATTCCGGTGTTGTTCGAGCGGGGCGTGGCCAGAGAGAGTGGCCAAGGATGGGCCGAAAGGGCAAGGATGCAAGGGTATCCTTGGGAAGGTTACCCATCCTTATTGTGCGGGTTGATTGTAGGGAAATCGAGAAACGCAGTAATCGGAAGGGCGCGGGGGGGCCCAAGGGGTTGTGACCACCCCCGAGGGGGGAACCGAGGGCCTGCAGGTGTCCACAGCCGCCTACGGCAACTGGGGAGCCTGGGAATCAGGCGCGGCGCTGGTTGCCGCCGAATCCGCCCTTAAGGGGGATCCCTGTACGGGGGTGTCGGGCAGCCTTGATACGCATCAAGGCCGCTGCCCACGTTCTACTGGTCTCCCAGGTGACGGGCCCATTGCACGGGGCCAACAAAACTGGGGACTGGCGTGCGGAGGCCGACCCGCCACAAACGGCCCACCCCATGGGAGAAGCTGTCCCCTTCAACTCCTTGCCTCGCAAACGCCTCGGGCTCACTTCCCCGATTGTTCCCGGAGGAATCTGAAAAACAAAAAAAACTAAGATCGCTCCATGACGGCCCGAGATACCCTCCAGACGGCCTCATAATCCCCGAGGACGCACGAAGATGGCCCCAACCGGAGTACTACCACGAAGACCCGAAGAGGCGAAACTCCAAGGCGGCCCAGGAAGCCACCAACATCGCCCCAAGACGGCCCAAGAAGTCCCAGACGCCCCCAAGAATGCAAGAAAACGGCCCCACACGTACCCAAGACGGCCCAAGACGGCCCCAAGACCGCCCGAGAGGCCCCGAGGGCGCCCGAAGAGAGCCCCACGAGGGCTCCAAAAGGCTCCCGAGAGGGGGAACGCCAACCGACATGTCGAGCCCTCCGCCTCAAGAGGCCACCAGAAACGAAATGGTGCCTAACAACTGGGGCTCGCCATGATGTGACGATGTAACAACAAATTTCTATTTTTCTTCGTCACTGCAACACCGGTCGCACTGACTGGTCACATCCTGATGTCGACATCTTGGCATAAACGGCCGCGGGTTGCCCGCGCCGACAAGCGGCTGCCTGTGAATTCGGGGGGGGGGACAGAACAGATCACGTCGCGTAAAATAATTATGCTCAGACATGGCGCCGGATAAATGCATGACAAATCCCACCAGCCCTCTGGGCGTCGGTGGTTTAAAGCGTTTCCTCTTCCACCCCTCCTTCTTCCCCTTCGGGGAGGGGCTTACCCCTCCCCCTACCCCCTCCCCACTGACCTGGACAGGGGGGGCCGCGATCGGTCAGAGCGTCCAAAATCGACCCCTGGGAGGGCTAAAATTCGACACCCCTCACGAGGATCGTGGCTCCTGAGGGGGGGGGCTGAAATTTAGGACCCCCCCTTCGTTGATCGATCTCCTCCAAGATGGCTCCGAGAGACGTCTTGGACCCCCTCTTGGGCCCTGCGCGCGGGCGGGAGGAGCGCCGCCCGCCCGCCCGCAAGGCCCGCAAAGGCCCAAGAGCCCACCAAAACGTTCGAAGACACTTCCAATACGCCACCAGGGAGGAGGAAGAGGCGGAGGAGGAGGAGGAGGAGGAGGAGGAGGAGGAGGAGGAGGAGGAGGAGGAGGAGGAGAGGGAGGAGGAGGAGAGGAGGAGGAGGAGAAGGCGGAGGAGAAGGAGGAAGAGGGGAGGAGAACAGCTGCCGATCATCGGCGCTCTTCGTTCGAGTGCCTGGTGTAGGATGGGCTGGTGGGGATGCTTTTTTTGCAGCCGCAGGCGGAAGCGCCAGCGGCGAGCGGTGCTGGTGGGGATACGCGAAGCGTCAAGAATTCACTGGTACACCCACCCATCACCGCAGGAGGCACGCGAAAATCGCTCCTCGCCGAGCGCAGCCGTCGGCGCGCCAACATCCGCCCCTCCTACACCCTACTGCGCAGCATTCTAAGGCGGGCAAACAGCTCGCTGCTAAGCGTAACTGTGCGCAACGATGCTGATGGAATTCGTCAGCTGCGCGCTTGGGACAGGCGACCGGCGATCGGCGGCGCATCCTAGGCAGGCAAAGTGCGCGCGCTCGGCAACGCGACGCGTGGATGGTTAGAGCCCGCTGCCAGACGCCTGTCGCCTAGCGTCAACAGGACGGGCGTCGGGGGCCCGACGCAGGGCGCCCGTCGCCAGGCCTCGCGCGCCGTAGTCCGCGGCCCCGCGCGGGGCCAGGTTCAGTGCCGCGCGCGCCCAGTACTGCGGCGTGGCACATACTTATTCACATCGCGCATGGATGACTGATGGCCTGACGTCGCCTGCAACAACAACCCACGATCAATGCTACCCTTTCCGCGCACGTCTGCTGTCATATCGCGCGCGTCGCACAGCTGAACGCAATGCGCGGCGCTCCTCTCCGTCAGCTGTCGTGCCCGGCCGACGCGGCCAAGCGCGGTGCGTTCGCTGGATTTCTGTGGGTCCTTGCTAGATGAAGATTCGTAGACAGACTCGGCATCGATTCTGAGGGGGGGGGGTCCTTTGCACAGAGGCCTTCTCAATCTAGTACGTCTTTGAATTCAGCTGCGGTCACGGGGGCCCCCATCTCAAGTTCGCGCAGCGCGGCAAACGCAAGGCGACGGCCCTCGAGGTTGCCCGTCGCAGCCAGCGTTTCCACCGAGGTGCCCGAGCGCATCTGAAATCGATGGGACTTGCAGCGTGCGCCCACGAGGTGGGCGGTGGCAGTGACGTTCCGCGCGTCGCCGCGCCGCGCGCTGCCGCCGCATCCCCCCCCCGTCGCCAGGTTCGCCCGTCGAGCGCAATGTCCAGAAGCGCTGTGGATACATGCCTCGTCCGTCGGCGTCGCGGCCTGGTCGACTAATGTCGTCGGGCGAGATGCACATTGCCCAGTCGTCGCGCCCAACCTCCGAAAGTGAATGCGCGTCGACCTCTGAACTCACTGGCGCAAGACGACGTGAACAATGAGCCAAACCTGTGCAATCAGAGCATCTACGCGTGTCTGTCACCGCGCGCGCGGCCTCCACCTCGGGCGCAGCTCAACTTGGCTCGGGGCAGTAAATGGGTCGCAATTGCAGAGCGCGCCCGCCCTGGCCCGCAGTGGCGTCGCCATCTCCAAGTTTGGAGCGACGTGCGGCGCCGTGGATGCATGCGAGCTGGTCCAGCATGAATGTCCCAAGCGTCTCCCCCAAGCGCCGCGCGCATTTATCGAGGCGCCTCCCCTCTCCAGCCGCATTGATATCGTCGGCGCACTCGGCTGTAACGGGGGCCGGGCCCGCTTCGACTTCGACGTCGTACGTCATGCCTTGAAGCCCGAATCGGCGGGCGATCGCCCTGCGCCAGGGTTGGAGCGCTCGCGGGGCACCATTGGTGACGGGGCCGGGCTTCGAGCGCTGGAGAAAGCGCTGCGCTTCGCCAAAGTCCGCGAAGCCTGGCAGCGATCGGAGCGCCACAGCCGCGCCGGGAGGGAGCGCGAAGCACGCGAACCTCTCCGCGTCTTCCAGCGGCTGCGGCAAGCCAATTATCGGCGAGGCCTTTGAGAAGGGGCTTCTATGTCTGTGGATGCACATGCCCGCGCTGGCGAGCTGACCACGAGCGCCCGGTTGGTTCATCGACCCGCCCCAGACATGGTTTCGACAGCGAAGGCCGCGGCGTCCATGGAGCCCCTCAGCACGAATCTGAAACGACGCGCCCGCCCCATCTCGTCCTGCTCCGTTGTCACAACGCAAGGCGTCAGGACGCTTGAACCTCGAACCAATAAGCGCATGAGCAAGCAGTGGTCATCGCGCCAAATGCACAATTCTGTATGTGCGGCTTTGGAAACTCTCGAACGATTAGCTCGAATTTCGGCCTTTACCAGAGGGTCGTCCCCGTTTGCAGTTACTGCGCGTTTGGGAGCGGTCGTAACATGTGCGCGTCCAGTGGCTATGCCCAGGCGATCCGACAAACGGTATAGTTGTTCGGAAGGAAACGACTTTGGCCATGTCTGCTTGAACGCACCATTCCACATTCTGGATATCTGTATCTAGCGTGCAGCTATCGTCGTACCCAGATAGATGTACTGGCACTGCGTAAGAATCGACGTCGCGGACTGGCCTGCTTCCAGGCTCAGCAGCCAAGTTCCCGTGATCGTCGCACATCGCGAAGACCACTGCGCATTCGTCTGTTTTGTTGTGCGTCGGCGCAGCATAGAAAGGTCGGGGCCACCATGGCTTTCAACAAACTCTTCGCGTTCTAATTGTGTCTAATTCTGTTTCTTCATAGAGCTCTCCATGCCCCTCCTCCATGTTGTGCGCATCAAAATCCTCCTCCGTTTCCTCCACGGTCGTTGGGGGTCGGCCCTGGTCGGTGGATATTCGGCATTGTTTTCTGCGGTCGCTCTCCTTGGTTATCGCCTGAGCCGCCATCTGCAAGTCCCTGAAACTTGGCATCGAATCCAACTGAAGGCTGGGAATATTGAAAACGGTTGATGATCCTGGATCGTGTGCCGCCCGCGCTGTCTCTGATATTCAAAGCGGCCCCGTCTGCTTGAACACAATGAGATCCAGGGTGTTCATCACGATCGTAGTGTATGAATATGCTGCTGTCCGCGTGTGCGAAGTGTGGCAGCTTGCGTACGATCTTGGCGAGACGCAACGCAACTGCATTCTCAACTACAAAACAATTCCGGGTGGGGCGTTGTAGTGCTAGCTAGGTGTACGTTAAAGAGTGAATTAATGGCAATCGTTATGCGCAGGTTTCCTCGCGAAGCAAGGATATAACCAAACGCAATGGCAGGTTGCATCGAAGCGAAGCCAAACATGAAGGCAACCACTGTGCGCATGGAAGCAGTATCAGGTCCAAACTCGCGTGCCATCAAAACTATTCAATATACACTGTGTGGCGGAAGTCGGGGTATTAGACCACTGTTTGTCTAGAGCCCGCTGGTACGATAACCTGTCCGCGATCAGGTATATTGCGTCGTAGTGGAAGTGGTCCACTCTATCCCCCCAGTCGTCCTTGTTCGCTGCTGGCCAATGGTAGTCGACTAGGTATCCTGGTTTGTAGTGGTGTTGTCCAGCCAGTTTGGTCGTTCTCTTCAAAGCTCGATTGGATTTCGCCACTGCTGGTGCTTGCGTCATGGTCTCTATACTCACTTGGCGTACCTGTTCCCTGCTGTGTTCGGAAGCTTCCGTAGGTGGTTCATGGAGTGTCGGGACCAACTCAGGCAAGCATGCTGGCTGACGCCCAGGTAGTGCATTGCAGGGTGATGCCCTGTTGCAAAAGCACTGCACTCGAATGGGGCCTGAGCGAGAAGCCTTTCGAATTCTATCGGTATGTCCCTGTCTGTTTGAGGTCTTCTTTCATCATGTACATTGTGCCGCGTAAGATGCCGCTCCTAGCCTCGATGGTGGTCGCATGCTGACCTGGAGATCGTATCCTAAACTCGGTGCCCTTGTCCTTCAGGATGGCTTTCGCCGCATCGTTTTTCCAGCCACGTTCTCCGTCAGAATATAGAACCCCTGCCCTTTCGTAAGCACCCCTCGCACTAGTGATACGCACCTGGGATCTCCTTGGGGCGCTCACACCCCTGGGGTACCGGCGGGTCCGGGGAGGGCGCCAGCGAGGGTCCTGGGGAGGTCCCGCCTTCAATGTCGGTGGCATCGGCCGTAAGGTCTTCACAATACTTTTCTGTCTCGCTCCTCCTGCATGTATCCGCCAGCCCCTCCCCAATCGATGCTGTCAAGACGCGCGGCTGACATGTTAGCTCAGTTTGACAACATCATTCATTAGTTTCTTCGATGTATGGAAACACGAGTCCCCACCTGGCCAACAACAGAATCAAGGAC